CCCCATCATCACCTCCACCATCACTATCTCCCCATCATCACCTCCCCATCATTACCTCCCCCATCCACCATCACCACCTCCCCAATGATCACCTCCCCCATCATCACTTCTCCATCATCACCTCCACCACCATCACATCCACCTTCTCCATTATCATAGTCACCACAAAGGCCCATAGCTTGGCTGTCACAGACCTCCACACACACCCCAAGAAGCATACCCACCCATGGTCACCAGGAGCCCAGGACAGGGGAGGTCTGAAGTCCCCCCCATCAGACAGGTAGTCACTATGGCCCCAGTACCACAGCATCGTCCATGTGCTCTGGAGGGGTGGGGGATGCCCTGTTCCACATCTGAGGTGCTGCCTCAGGAAAATCCCTCTGATTCCCTGGTCATAAAATGAACTCAACCATGGCAGGCAGTGGTGGCACTCACCTTAACCCCAGCACTTGAGACGCAGAGGCAGGCAGATCTCTATGAGTTCGAGGCCAGCCTGGTCTACAGAGCGAGTTCTAAGATAATAAGGGCTGCAACAGTGAAACCCTGTTTCAAAACGGGGAAAAAAAGGAATCAATTTCTAGGGCTGGGGCTGTAGCTCAGTTGGAAGGTTCTTGCCTAGCATGTGTGAAGTCCTGGGTTCCATCCCCAGCATTGCATAAATCCAGGTGTGTGTGGTACACGGCCTGTAACCCCCCGCACTCACTGGGTGAAGGAAGGAGGATGTACAATGTCATCCTAGGCTAGGTACAGGAGAGGAGCTAGCCTTTCTCTGCTGCTCCCAGGTCCCTGTTCTCACTGATTCTAAACACTAGCACAGCCGTCCCCTGCTCCACCTGCTGTGGTTTCAGGGATACTTCCATAGGCAAGTTCTAGAAAAGCCTTCCTGATCCACACTCACTGCTCACCACAGGACCTTCCAGGAGGGGTGATGATCCCCCAGCAGTCTGCTCAAAGCCAGACCGTGCGAAGAATGAGACCAAAGCAAGATGTGCTGGGAGTCACGGGAGAAGGCAAAAGCCCAGGCTGGCTACCCCCCAAGCCCAGGTCTCCAGCACAGCCCTGCATAGGCGAGGCCCTGAGGAAATTAGACTTTTGGTTTAAGGAGCTCAACTTGTGTTAGATAGCAGGAAGGACTTCCTCAGAGTGCAGGGTTGGTGGACAGTGGAGAGAGGGCAAAAGGAGCTTAGGAAGGGGGGGAGGGTTTGAAGATGGCAGGGAAGGGGCTACATTCCTCTGCGGGGAATTCCAGAAAGAGGAGCCAATTTATTCTGAGATCTTGTGGCGAGGCTAAGTGATGTTGCTTATGGGAGAATGGCTCTGGCGGCCCTCACCTCCAACCTCACAATAGGCTCTCATGTGGAAATAAATGGGTTTGGGGAGGGCACTTAGGACTTAGCAGTCCAGCCCAACCCTCATTCTCCGCTATGTCAGACGCAGCTGAGGCCCAGAGAGAGCAAGTGACTTGATCCAGGTGGCAGAGCCCAGCAAGGCGCAGAAGCCAGTCTTTCCTCCCGGGGTTGGACCCCATTTCCATCACAAGCCTATCTCAGGGTGGCCATCTCAGCCCCAGATCCCTGGACTCTCAGTGTCCACCCACATGCTGCACCCAGGGTCCAAGAGGCAGGCAGGGCTTGGTCACTCGCTGGCCGCCTGGAGTCGGCAACTCAGCAAGTTCCCTTCCTCAAGAGGAAGGCCAACAGGTCCTGGGTGCTGATGCAAGGTGTTCAGCCGCCAGGACTCTGCCGCATGGGTGTCTCCAGAGATTAAGGGCCCACAGCAACAGACAGGAAGGGCCTGACAAGAGACTAACTACAGTCCAGAGCCCTTGCAGATGCTCTCGCAAGCCACAAGGGATGCAACACCCAGCATTGGAGAGTTGCCACAGGCTGTCCAAGATCCTGAGGAAGTCTGAGCTCATTGACCTTGGGTTCCTTCCCCCAAAGCACCCAGTCACCTACCCATCCACCTGCCTGTCCACCCATTTGTCTGCCCACCAGACCATCTACCCACCCATCCATCCACCCACCCACCTTCCACCCACCCACCCATCCATCCACCCATCCATCCACCCACCCATGCACCCACCCATCCATCCACCCATCCACCCACCCACCCATCCATCCATCCACCCACCCATCCACCCACCCATCCATCCATCCACCCACCCATCCATCCATCCATCCACCCAACCNNCCCCCCCCCCCCACCCCCCCACCCACCCATCCACCCACCCATCTACCCATCCACCCACCAACTGCATTGTAGTAAGTGCAGGAAACTAACTATAGAGTTCAGCCATCCAGGAGCTCAAAGCTTGGCTCAGACACACTCTGGTTGTATGACTTTGGGCGGTCACTTAATCTCTCAGAACCTCAGGGTCTTTCCTCAGCAGAAGGTGAATGACCTCGGTGCCCCCTCAGCTCCATGAGGGCCCAATGCACCAGAAAGTGCTCTGTTTCGGCTCTCACACCCATTATCCCAGCACTTGGGGGGCAGAGGCAGGAGGATCTAGAGTTTGAGGCTACCCTGAACTGCACCCAGTCTCAAAACAAACAAAAACAAGCCGGGCGATGGTGGCGCACGCCTTTAATCCCAGCACTCGGGAGGCAGAGGCAGGCGGATCTCTGTGAGTTCGAGACCAGCCTGGTCTACAGAGCTAGTCCCAGGACAGGCTCCAAAGCTACAGAGAAACCCTGTCTCGAAAAACCAAAAAAAAAAAAAAAAAACAAGCATTGGTGGCCATCCCCAGGGCACAGTGACACCTAAAAAGGGGTGGAAATTCTAAAGTGGGATTTAAACACCGAGGGAAGACAGAGCCTCCCCCATCCGTGCTGCCAGCCAGGTCACCACCTGCTGACCCAGACAACATTCAAGCCCTGGCCACGGTCACCTCATCCCCAAGGGGAGATGAGAAACAGCTGAGATGTGACCTTTGACCTCACTAGACACCCCACAGGAACCCAGGGATGTGAGGGGGGTCAGAGATCCAGTCTCTCATCCCTCTTGTACAGGGTTTTGGGGTGTCCTCTGAGGACAGTCTCAGCTCTGGTCTCCCAACCCTCGGGACCCTTTGGCTGCTCAAGAAAGCACAGTTGCAGGAGTCTGGTTGACTCTAGGAGTCTCCCAGATCAGGCTGCAGAGCCTTGAAACTCACCTCAAAGAAGAGAGGCCTCCTCCCCCTCCTCCCTCTCTTTCCCCCTCCTTTTTCTCCTCCTCCTCCCCTTCTGCCCCCTCCTCCCCCTCCCTTCACAGTCCAGCATCCACAGGGGGCCTGGTCCCAGGAAGAACTCAGTTCCCGCCTAGACCATCACCACCATGGCTCCTATTTCAGACAAGCCCACTTAAGCCCAGAGGCT